GTGAGGCCTGAAAATGTGGCTGCTTCTAGGGTGAAAGGTAGATGGCAGTATAGAACAGGGCATGGGATCAGACCAGGGAGACCCAGTGGTTGGGGGGAGATGCTGGCACCTCCAGACACCATGGGGATGTGGAGTGGGGTCTGGGCGTGATACATTGGGATGTAAAATGCAGCTGCTTCTGGGGTGGAACACAGGTGGCCACATAAAACAGGGGTGGGATCAGGAGCTAGGGGACACTGTTTAGAGCTTCCCCCACCCCATACCTTGGGGCCCTTGGATCTGCCCTGCCCAGGGCTGCCCAGCGAGGCTTAGTGGGATTCCAACCTGGGAACTGAGGGCTCCCCCTCCACTCTCCCCCGCCCTCCACAATCTTCACTGCCCCCTATGGGGTCTCCCCCTGCCCTCCAGAACTCCCCTGGGAGGGGCAGATCCAGGAAGGGAATGAGAGAGAGCTGGGAAGTCTGCCCTGGCTTCATTTGGAGCCCAGGACTGGGGGGAAGGTGGGGCAGGAGGCGGCTGAGTCTAGGGTAGAGCTGATGTAGATAGAGTGGAACAAGAAGGAGGGTGTCTGGCCAGAACCTGGATGGGGAGAAGCCCCCCTCATGCCCATTGCTGCAGCAACAGGCCCTGCCTTGCTGCCCCAGTTCCCACTGGGGGAAACTGAGGCACAGGGGACAGGGCTGAAGGGAGTACATGGGGCTGTGACCCTGGTGCCCCTATATCAGGTCTTGCACACTCATCCCATGTGCAAAGAGCCCAGCGATCTTGTGCAAACCCCCCCCCCCCCAGCCTAACCCCCACCCCACTGCAGGGACCCACCCAGCCAGGGACCAAGGTGTCCAGGCAGGGAGTCAGGGGCTGCCCAAACATGGCAGGAGTCTAGGTATTAATAGCCTGCCCCAAAATAGTCCCAGCCTCAAGGGCAGGAGAGGGCATGGGGGGGAAGGGGCAGATCTGGGGAGGTCAAATCCTTCCACAGGGGGCACCAGGGGTCACAATCCCACTCCCGCCAGGAAATGTGCCCCCCAAACATTTTCCTTATGTGCGCGCGGGGGGGGGGGGGGGG